TTTAAAAAAAAAAAAAAAATTTTTTTTTCCAAAAGAAATTCCCAAAACTTTGCCCTTTTAACTTTTTCCTTCCCCCCCCCCCCCAACCCCCAAACTCACCCATCTCAAGCACCAACAGAACTTAATGTTTAATAATTTACACCGCTGAAAATTTTATGTTGAATAATAAACAACTAAACTTTATTTTAAAAATTGTCCCTTCAATATCGTTTATAAACGCCAAGGATAGAGCGTTTTATTTTAAGACAAAGTTAGGACCCATTGGCAACAAAAGATATGGGGATATTTTTAGTTTGAGATCCACCGATATTTTTAATGGGATTGTGAACGTATATTTACCAAGTTTGGCCTTTGTGCAATAATTTACGTAGATCGGGGCGTTCTCAACCTTCCTAATGCCGCGACCCTTTACTACACTTCCCCATGTTGTGGTGCCCCCCCCCCCAACCATAAAATAATTTCCTTGCCATTTCATAAATATGAGTTTTCCGATGGTCTTAGGNCTCGTCAACATCTAAGCTAAAACAAACTTATAAGAGTCATTTTGGAATAGAAATTTTCTCATGCTTTATATGTTGATATATTGCAGGTAAGCAATATGAATAATTAAATAAAATTTATTTTACGATGCTACGCCTATATGTTAGACAGTGCAGTTTTACATCATGATTTTTTTATCGCATTCAAGTGGGAACTGGAAAGCGTTGCCGTTGCTTAGCCGTAGCCTATTTTAGTAATTATTATAATATGCAAAAGTTATGATTACAATAAATAAATGATAGCCTAATAAATTAAATAAAAACTTGAACTAGTTTCAAATTCTAGTGACAATAAATTACAAAGACGGTCTATGGTTTAGGTGGGTTACAATTAGTTCTTAGTTACAATTTTGTTTACCCTATCCCATGCCTATGCCTATTATTAGTATTAGCCTATGACTATGATGGCCTATCATAATACCAGACCTGCTTGTGACCTATGTTTTTTTTAGAAACTAACACTAACCTGCAGAGGCGTAGCGAGGGGGGGGGGGCAGGGGGGGACAGATGTCCCCGGGCGCCAGCTAGTTAGGGGCGCCAAAATGTGCTTTGATATTATTTTATTGATGAAAATAATGGGTTTGAGAGTTGAAAAAAAAAGAAAAAGGGGCGCTAAAAATGGATCTTGTCCCCGGGCGCGAATCTTGTCCCCGGGCGCCAAACACCCTCGCTACGCCACTGGCTATTCCCTGATACCGTGGAGACACCCAAAACATTATAGAAATCTATCAAACTTAACTTTTCATAAACATTTGGATTACACAGACATTATCATAATCTTTAAAATCTACGTGGAACTATACAGAACATGTTGGAATTTTTTTTTTTAAACGTTCAAATAAATTGTCACAAATGACTCTTCTATGTCTTCAATATTTCAATAAGAAAAGATCTCAAACAAAATACCGCAACTATAGATATTTTCTTTTGAAGAGGAAATAAGGGCCCTTGTGAGAAGGACCATGCTCTGCAAGGTTGACTTTTCAATTAGCACTCAAGATACATTTTCTTCAGATAAAATAGTAAAGTTAAAATTAGAGGTTGTCCAAATCAAATAAGTTGTAAAACATTTAATTATGCAAGAAAAATGAAATTAGTGTCCATCAGGGACGTTATTTTGGTAGGGCAGGGTGCCCCCCCCCAACCGAATTTGCAGGTTTTATTTAAATTGCAATGTAATGTGGCGCCTCCAGTAATAAACAACTTAACAAGCCGACCAAGATTTGGTTTTGCCCCCCCCCCCATGATAAAAAAAAAACTGAAATGACGCCCCTGGTGTCCCTGACCCCGACAGTGATAAATATTTTATGAAATAGATTTTGAAGTGCATTTGTGCCAAGTTTAATCTAGATTTAGACATTGATTTTAATTGTAACTATGTAGCTCATATCAGGCAAAAACGAACAAATTTGGACACCCCCACCCCACCCCCAAACATGCTCAACGTGAATTTTTATTCTTCTAATAATTCAAACCCCGTCAGTATTTGCTTCTGGATAATGAACTGCAAGGTTTCTTTCAGCTAAATCTCGGGGGGGGGGGGGGGGCATTGCCCCCCCCCCGGAGCCAAAATAGGTAAAACACAATAAACCCACGGGGACTGCCCCCCCCCCCCGAAAATCTGAAGTGCCGCCCCGGGGTAAAATTTCTGAAAGAAACACTGGTGTACTGTTATAACTTTGTATCCCAAGTTTGTGGAATGTTTCTTAATCCGTGTGGAAATGTACCGGAGAACGTCACATCGCTTTACGTGATGTTACTATTTTTAGAAGTTTCCTTCGTAAAAGATAGCTTCTGACAATGTATTTTTGCATATTTATAGCAGTAACAATTTATTTGTAAAATATCTTTCGTACCGGTACAATCAAGTTGAAAACACGTTTTCGTCTAGTTAAGACCCACTGTGCTGGCTCACCTTAATGTAGATGTACCGAATGGCTGTTGAGAGATTTGCCAGACTGTACGCCCGATTCTTCTGTTAATAGATTTTCGCCATTTAATGACAAACCCTATTGGCAAATGATTTATCAACATCATCTTAGAATTTCTTTTAACAAAACTTGATGATTATTAACTTTAACTTTTTATACTAATCTAGTTTTTTTGTTTAAAATTCTCAGGTCCTTTATTATTTTTTTTTCGGAGCGACTCTACAAAATAGTGGGATGACGTGGTGCTACGTATACCTCTTGCCTCTCTCAGCGTTTCTCCTCAAGGACGCAGCCCTCGCCAAGGTCGTCGTCATGTTCTCCACCCCCCACACATCGCACGTCCGGACGTACACCAACGTCGCGCGCGCGTTGACCGACCAGGGCCACACGACCTACGTTTGCGTCCCGCAGTTCATGCTTGACGCGAACCTCGTCGACACCCACGGCACCAAGATCATCGCCTACGGCCGGTATCTTAAAAACAGCGAGGACGTCCTCTTCGGGAAAATCCTGGACAAGTTTTGGCGAGGAGAGAGCGGAGGCGTGACCGACTTCATCGCCCTGGTCAAGAAAATGCAAAGCGTCATACGGCAGATTTTATCGGATAAATTGTTAATGAAGCAAATCAAAGATCTGAAACCAGACTTGCTCGTACTCTCCAATTTCGCGCCTTTTCGTAATTTCGTGATGATTTCTCACATAATGGATGTCCCTTTTGTATACCTGGGACCTCACAACGACTTGGCCGGGCAACGGGTTCCCTTCAGTCCGTCGTCCGTCCCATGCCCGTTTCACCAAGGCTTCAGCGAGCGTGGCATGTCCTTCGTGGACCGCCTCAAGACTGCAGCGTGCAATCTGCTCGTTATCGCCGTGGACTATTATTTCATGGACGATAAGATGGTTCAAGAGTTCGCCCCGCACAGGCCGCGAGCATCCGTCGGGGAGATCTCGAGAAGAGCCCAGCTTTACATCATAGAGAGCGATCATATCCTAGACTTTCCCAAACCGGAACTGCCGAACATGAAGTTGATTGGCAGCACGGCGGTGTCCCTTCCAAGGCCCCTGGGCGAGCCCTTCAGATCGTTCGTCGAAGGCTCCAGGGCTGGAATAGCCGTGGTGAGCTTCGGAACCTCTGTGCTCGCCATACCGAAGGCCGTCTCGCAGAAAATGATCTCGGCGTTCCTGCAGCAAGAACTGGACGTCGTCTGGCGGGCGAACGTGTCGTCTGCCCACCCGGACCGGATCATGACGTCCCACTGGCTGCCTCAGAACGATCTCCTCGCGCACCCGAAGACCAAACTATTCGTGTCCCACTGTGGGACCAACGGCCAGTACGAGGCCCTCTACCACGCCGTCCCCATACTTTGTCTGCCGCTGATCGGCGAGCAGCTCTACAACTCCCATCGGTCCAAATCAAAAGGCTTCGGCCTCACCGCCAGCATACTGGATATTTCCGATAAGCGCCTCGCGAGGCTGATGAGGCGCGTGGCCGAGTCGGACAAGTACCGAGGCAGCATCAAGCGAGCGTCGGAGTTTTTCCGGATGTTGTACAAGGCGCCCGATCAGGCGGCTGCCTTCTGGATAAACCACGTGATGGAACACGGCGGCCGGTACATGAAATCTGCAGCGCAGGACATGCCCGTTTATCAGTTCCTCGTACTGGACGGCTTCGGCGTCGTCGTCGCTACCATCGTAATCGTGGTCGCGGTTCTCTCCCTTCTGTGTTGGTGTGGCTGTCGTGCGTTGAGGCGGGTCTCCGGGAAGTTTTGGCAGCGGGTCAAATTCAAAGGAGAGTAGCGCTAACCAAAGGAACGCGTTTTCCATGTGTTGAGGAACTATGGTGCCATAAGCCATAAGCCCATACATGGATATTGAGAAATAGATCTCCTGAGAGGTGCCATCTTCTCTCGCTTTTCGGGGTGGTTGGGGGGGGGGGGTAGATATTTTTAAGAAACTACCATTGGCATAGGTAGGGGGGGGGGGTAGGGTGGGGCGGTGCGCTAGGGCCGGTCCCCCCAAAGCAGGTGGCGATTTCGGTTAACTGCTGAGTATTTTAATGGGAAAAAATGAGGGGAGGGGTGCGGCTTAAAAGCTTGGCCCAACTTAGGCAACTCTAACCCTAGCCATACCACTGGACACTGGTATATCTATATATTAATTTCAACACGAAAATGGGTTTAAAATAACTTATAAAAAATGTTGCACATTCTCATTTGTTCACCCGCCCCCCCCTTCCGCAACGCCGCATTTTTAAAGAATCTGACTGTGAGACCGAAAAAAAAAGAATGAAGTTGAATATGTCGCTAAATGAAACCACAGACTTTATGCTTTAGACCCACTGCATCCGTATTTCACCGACATCAATGACTTACGTACAAGACCGATCTTTCGGCAGTGAAATTGGTCAGGCATTTTGTACCCACATTACAGGTGCCTGCTATCAGCTTAGATATTGCATGTCTTGCTGAAACTCAGTTTTTGGATGGTTATAAGTTGCTGAAAGTTTATTTTCTGTTGTACATGAGTGATGACCATTGGTGAGAAACCAAAAAAAAACATTTAGTAGTTGACAAGCCTGATTTTTTGAACTAGCATCAGATGAAGTTCAATAGTTGTTCTTCTGCTTTAAAATCATGTTATAGTCATCTACTGGACAAACATTATAATCTATAAATTATGATTGCATGTCTTATATGGGCTTTAAAAATGAAGTCTTGCATTCAGTGAAATACAATCTCAGCGGAATAAAGGCTCATAGAAATACAGATTCGGTGACGTACAGACTCACTGAAATACAGACTAAGTGACATACAGACTAAGTGAAATGCAGAATCGGTGAAATACGGGCTCAGTGAAATGATTACTAAGTGAAATACAGACTCGGTGACATATAGACTCATTGAAGTACAGACTCAATGACGTACAGACTTAGTGAAATACAGACTCGGTGAACTACAGACTCGTTGAAATGCAGACTAAGTGAACTACAGACTCAGTGAATCATCTCTACAATGTACTCACCGTCCAGTTTATCATCTTGTAATCTTTTATCTCCGTACATTTTTACTTTACAAAGAGGAGGAGTTTTTTTTTTTTTTTGGCTGGATTATTTTTGACTGTGTTTTATTTTTCATTTGCTGTTTAAAAAAAAAATAATAATAATAATTTATGTGCTGTTCTTATTTTATTGTAGATTTTTTTTAATAGGAACAGTTTTTCGGGTCCTTTTTACTTTCAGTATGTTATTTTATTTTAAGTGTCCGGGAATACCGGAAACATATCTAGTCAACATCAGTGTGCTGAGTTGAAAAACGATTTATGTTTTAATGATGATAATCCTATGCAATAAAAAAAAAATAAATGGTTTAACTAATAAATTGTTACGTTATCTTTAAAGAAGTTACCCTTTATTCTCCTCGTGAAAAGTGGATGTATCTTTATTTAGCACGACAGACTGAATTGTGAGGCTAAAATGCCCTAAAAATGAAATAACATTTTATTCTCTCACGTACAAATTTTAAATAATAAAACAATAAGAAATGAGACTGTAATAGCAAAACTTGACACATGCTGATTTGATGCTATGAAGAAAACACGTAAGCCACTCGTTGTAGTAATGCATAACAATTTTAATATTTGCGAACTATTTTGTGGGCGGAGGAGAGAAAAGCATGAAAATGAAATCCGGCATATTGAAAGGATTTTAACTTTTATTGGCTCAATCTGTCTGTTCTTCTCTTATAATAGTCATGTATTTTGTTTTTTGGTTGTTACCTTCCAGCCCTGCTGGTAGTGATGCGTCTTCTAATTCAATAAAGGGTTTTGATACGTTTTTAAGAATTTTCCCTAACACACTGCTGAAGGCGTTGGTTGTAGAGTGTGCCCATTGGTTGTGGGTCTTGGGTTTCCCTCAGAAAGTATCCTGTTTTTGTTCCTCGAGTGTCAATATGTATACTTATTATACTTATAACTCTCTTTAATGTTAGGTTAAATAGCATAAAAGACAGTGAGTCTCCTTGTCTTAGGCCTCATCTAATCTGAAATTTCTTGAATATTCTCATTGAACCTTGATTTTAATTTTTGAGTTGTTCAGTATTACATGTATCAGTTTTGTCAGTTTGTTGGGTATGCCAAACTCCTGCAGAATCTCATTCAGATATTTTCTTTTGGTGCTGTCATAGGCCATTTTATATTCCACACAGAGTTGATGCACTGGTATATTATATTCATAGCATTTCTCTAAATCTGATCAGTAGTTGGTTTGTTTTGCCTGAATCCACATTGGTAACCATCTAGTATTTTAGTAATTCTTCATTGTACGCTTTTAGTCTTTTGGCTGTTAGCTTCGTCGTTTTTTTTTTGTTGAAACATTTGATAAAGAGATTCCCCTTTAGTTTGTGCAATGGCGTTTGGAGCCTTTCTTGTGTATTGTGGTTATTAATGCTGTTTCCCATTTTGTTGGAATTTTCTCTTCTTGCCAAATTTTAGTTATAAGCTTATGTATCTGAGTGTATAGTTCAAGTGTCACACAAGTAGAATGAATTTAGTTTACGTCTCATTGGAGCCGAATTGAAGATGTCTTTGATTATTTTTATGGCTAATTTTGGCACTCCCCAGCCGAAAGTTTGAAATGCAACCTCAAAATTGTCTGAAAAAAACACAAATTCAAGTATGCACCAAAATGCACCTCTGCATTTTGAGTTTGCCCGACTTTCTTAAGCAACCTAAATTTCTGCACCTGTTCATTCACACTGATCAATGGTACTGTATGGGGTTGATTATAAGCTTGTGCCAAATGATGACTCTGCTACACGCCACAGACTGAGTGAATCCAGCTTATGTAGGGCCCTGGGCACCATAACGCCCCCCCCCCCTTAAAATTTTAAAAACGTCCTTCCCCGTTAAAAAAGTAAAATAAAAAAGTTGAATTCAAATATATCTTCAAATATACACCTCTTGACTTTTATATAAATATTTTCGCGAAGACTCCCCAGACCCCCTCCTCCGATCAAGATTCATCAGCGCCCTCAATGTTCGCCCTATTTCCCGATGAAAATGGTTCCCGGTTTTGGTATCGATAGATCCACCGCCTAGTGACGCAGCTACTATTAGTGCAGCCATGGGCGAGCAAATAGTTTTTCTGTCCCCCCTTTCCCGATACAAACTCTGCAGTTGTCCGAAAATGCAACACCTGCATATAAAGAAAAAGTGACACCTCGGGGGACCACCCCATCCACCTTATTTCGACACCACTAGCAGGTGAGTATCTACAGTGTTTGGCTTCATGGGACACGATTCATTTTTACGCCCCCTCCCCCCCCCCCAAACTCTGAACCTAATAATTTTCAACCATTAAATTCCACCAAAGCCCATTTCCCCCTTCCCGGCTAATCTGGCGCCACGGACAATATGCCCCCATCTGCCTCCATTAGCTGCGCCTCTGGCCACTGGCACAGCCCCCACCCGAAAATTGTATGTGCCCCCCCCCCATCCCCGGGAAAAATGTATCCCTACATGGGCTGTAGCGCCACAGGGATGGATGGATGGATGGATGGATGGAAAATGTACAAAAATGAATTTTTGGGGTTCCTTTTGCTCTTTTGTGGACAGTGACAGAGTTAAGACACGAACATAGAATTGTTATTAATCAAGGTGAAATGTGTGATGCCCCCATGGAGTGAAATGTGTGATGCCCCCATGCATTGAAATGTGTGATGCCCCCATGGAGTGAAATTTGTGATGCCCCCATGGAGTGAAATGTGTGATGCCCCATGGAGTGAAATGTGTGATGCCCCCATGGAGTGAAATGTGTGATACCTCCATGGAGTGAAATGTGTGATGCCCCCATGGAGTGAAATGTGTGATGCCCCCATGGAGTGAACTGTGTGATGCCCCCATGGAGTGAAATGTGTGATGACCCCATGGAGTGAACTGTGGACATGATTTGGGCGATAGGAGGCATGGTGTGAAAAGACAAGAAAGATATAAAAAAAAGAAGAATGATAAAACATTCATCAAGATGATGGCTTTCGTCCCATCAGACTTTTCCGTGTCCTTGTTTTTTGCAATTTTTTTTGTAAGGAAAAGAATGGCATTTTTAGCGTAGACACTGTCCAGAGTCTGTAACACCATTTTATTCACATTCATATCTACAAATATTTTACAAGTGTGTTGTTGTTTTTTTTTGGGGGGGGGGGGGGGGGGGGGGAAGGGGTTTTTCCCATATAATGTTTTATTTTTTTTTAGTTTTTAAGTTTAGGCATATGTTTAAGTTTAAGTTAGTTTTAATTTAGTGGGATCTTAGTTTTTAGGTTTGATTTATTAGGTTTTGTCTTTTTACTCTAAATAATGTTTCTAGGAGTTTTTCTGTGAACATGTGTTTGTTGAATTTGGTGTTTTGCCTGCACAGCCTAATGTGTTGTCAGTAGGAGGCTGATTACATGTTGGGTTTTGTTGATTGATTACGGATAGTCTAAGTCCAAGTGTTTAATGTAATAGTAGATAGTAATCGATTTGTCTATATTTATAGTGCGGGTTTTCCCCTGACTTTATGAGTTTCCACTTTTGAGATTGCTAATTTTTTGTGTGTGGAATTTTTTGTAAACAAAAAAAAAAGTTCATTTATTAATAAAGTAAAGAGGGGCGATACACCGAGAAAATTGGATGGAAACAAGCCAATTTTCGATTTTGCAGAACCATTGATATCCAATTCAAGTGCATTCAGCTCTGCTCAAAGACAATTATGTATATTTATTTTTAATTTAGGTTAAATAGTTCTTGAGATAAGATATAACGAAAAAAAAAACTTTTTCAATTTAATGTACCGGTAATAAG